TTATCCATTCTGAAAAAAACATATTTAGGATTTTACTGTTTAAATTTATTTGTGTGTAGCTATTTTAGGAACATCGCTCTCGTGTAAACTACTTAGCTTGCTAGAAGAAGAAAAATATAGATTGCTCTGGAATCACTTGCTGCCACATTTCTGTTGGGTAAAAGCAGTCTTTACTGTTTCTAGTATCTCAGCTTTGTATGTTCCAAACATTTAAAGTTGTCCTGGTGTATTTTTCCCAGCATACACATTCCTTTTACAGTTATTGTAGTGTGGGTTTATGTATGTATATGCATATGCCTTCCAGCACTACCACAGTGTAACATATTATTGAGTACATCTTTAGAAGTGTATTTTATGAATTAGTGACTACAGTTAATGAATAGTAACAAGTTTGGGTTAGTCATACATCTGTTTCCCATATTGTGTCAGTCAAAAATATTTTTTATTTCTGAATAAATAAATAGCTAAACCATATACTAGGATTTTTTTTTCAATGGACTGTCACACAGTGATTATAGGTAGCAAAGAGAAACGACATCAACCTTCTTTTTCATACCTAACTTATGAAATGTAATTATTTCCCTGCGTGGCTATGCTGTGAATGCGCACTAATGGTAACCTTCTGCGCATGCGCAGCACAGCTCAGAAATCTTCAGTTAAATTTTTAAATAGAATGTTGGTTGGCCCCGCGCACACTCCCCATGATACTATAAATAGCCCGCGGTAGGCTAACCGCCTCAGTTCTCTTCATCCGCGCTTTACACAGGCAGCTCGATCTTCGATGAGAACAGTTTCTTGAAAAATGAATTTCACAGATTAAGGCAGGGGAGTGATAGGGTTTCAGTCCCACCCACCAAGGTAAGCTATGAATTGTCAATTAAATGAACAGTAATGGAATGGCTCATCGCCAAATGTGTTTGTGTTGCTGTTTTAAGAGGCAGTACATTTGCATTTTACAGTGTTATTTATTAAACTAGCCGTCCCCTGCCACATGTTGCTGTGGCCCAGTCTGGTGATCTGGAAAATAAAGTAATGAGAAAGTATTGGTTTCTAAAATATGTAATTTCTTTATGCTTGTGGGTAAACAGTATTTCTTGTTGTTTCTTTGTCAGTGTTGATGTAGAGATTGTCTGGTTTGCCTACTCTGGAACATGTAACATATCATAGTCCTTCTTTAGGGGTCCCTTTCAAATCTATGATAATATATCTCTCATATACATGTGAGAGACATCAACTGTGCTGCTAAGAAAAAGATCTATGCCAGTGCAAAAGCGGAGGTCCAAAGAAGGACAAGAGAACTCAAGAACATCTGGTGGACAAAGAAGCCTGAAGAAATCCAACACCTGGCAGATACCCATGATGCTCAGGGATTTTTCAGAGCCACAAAGGATAATAATGGACCAAGAAACCATGGCATACAGCCTCTACGATCATCAGATGGAGCCAAACTCCTGAAGGACCAAAAATCAATTGCACTATGTTGGAAAGAACACTACCAAAGCCTTCTGAACCGCAGCTCCAATGTGGCCGAAGAGGTTCTCTCACAAATCCCGCAACAACAAACCAGGGATGAGCTTGCAGCACTGCCTAGTTTGGAAGAAGTCAGCAATGCCATCACCCAACAAAAAAATAACAAAGCCAGCAGACCTGATGGGATCCCTGCTGAAATCTTTAAAGAGGGAGGACCTGAGCTGACACAAAACTCCACCAGCTCATAGGAAAAGTGTGGGTGACTGAGAAAATCCCAGCAGATTTCAAGGATGCCACCATCATCACCCTCTTCAAAAAAGAGGAAAGAACAGACTGCAGAAACTATCGCGGTATCTCCCTTCTAACCTCAGCTGGGAAAATCCTCGCAAGAATCCTTGCAAACCGCCTTCTACCCCTCTCAGAAGATACCCTCCCAGAATCCCAGAACGGCTTCCGCCCCTCCAGAGGAACAGTGAACATGATCTTCACTGCATGACAGCTCCAAGAAAAATGCAGGGAACAAAATCAACCTCTGTACATGGCATTCATTGACCTTGCAAAGGCATTCAACACAGTGAATTGCAGCGCTCTCTGGACTACCCTCCAAAAAATTGGGTGTCTTAACAAATTTGTGAACATCCTGCGGCTCCTCCATGATGACATGATGGCAACAATCTTGGACAGCAATGGCTCCCAAAATGATCTATTTAAGGTGGAATCAGGTGTCAAACAGGGATGTGTTATTGCCCCAACTTTATTCTCCATCTTCATCACTATGATACTTCACCTTGTTGATGGGAAGCTTCCCACCGGAGTGGAAATCATCTATCAGACAGATGGCAAGCTATTTAACCTCAGCAGACTGAAAGCCAAAACTAAGGTTACAACAACATCTGTTATAGAACTCCAGTATGCTGATGACAATGTCGTCTGTGTGCATTAAGAAGAAGACCTACAAGCCACTCTAAACACCTTTGCAGAAGCATACGAGAAGCTTGGCCAATCCCTCTCCAATGCCAGAGATACAGCTTAATGGTGTAACATTAGAAAATGTTGAGCATTTCCGCTACCTTGGCAGCCACCTCTCCACCAAATTCAACATCAACACCAAAATACAACACCGCCTGAGCTCTGCGAGTGCAGCATTTTTCCAAATGAAGCAGAGAGTGTTTGAGGACTGGGACATCCGTAGGGATACCAAGGTGCTTGTTTATAAAGCTATTGTCCTCCCAACCCTGCTATATGCCTGCGAAACGTGGACTGTCTACAGACGTCACATGCAACTCCTGGAACGATTCCATCAGCGCTGCCTCTGGAAAATCCTGCAAATCCCTTGGGAAGACAAACATTAGCATGCAGGAAGAAGCAAAGACCACCAGCGTTGAAGCAATGGTCCTCCGCCATCAACTCCGCTGGACTGGCCATGTTGTCCAGATGCCTGACCACCATCTCCCAAAGCAGTTGCTCTACTCTGAACTCAAGAACAGAAAACGGAATGTTAGTGTACAGGAAAAGAGATTTAAAGATGGGCTCAAAGCCAACCTTAAAAACTCTGGCATAGACACTGAGAACTGGGAAGCCCTGGTCCTTGAGCGTCCAGCTGGAGGTCAGCTGTGACCAGCAGTGCTGCAGAATTTGAAGAGGCATGAAGCAATAGAGAAAGAGGAGGAAGGCGCATCAAGCCAACCCCGACCAAGACCGCCTTCCACCTGGAAACCAATACCCTCACTGTGGGAGAAGATGCAGGTCAAGAATAGGGCTCCACAATCACCTACGGACCGACAAGAATATTGATCCTGGAAGACTATCCTACTCGGCCAATGAGGGATCGCCTAAATAAGTAAGTAAGTGATGTAGAGATTGTCTGGTTTGCCTACTCTGGAACATGTAACATATCATAGTCCTTCTTTAGGGGTCCCTTTCAAATCTATGATAATATATCTCTCATATACATATGTGTGTGTGTGTATCGTATATCTCTATGTCTATGGCTGGATGGCTCTTTGTCTGGAGGGCTTTGATTATGTTTTCTTGCCCTGGTGAAGGGAGTTGGATTGGATGGCCGTAAGGCAGCATTTCTCAACATGGGAGTTAGGACCCTTGGGGGGGGGGGGGGGTCATGATGGGATGTCAGAAGGTATCGCTAAAGACTACCAGAAAACACAGTATTTTCTCTTGAGAAAGGCAGTATACAAATACAGTAAGTAAGTAAATAAATAAATAAATATGTATTCGTGCCAAGTTTGGTCCAGATCCATCATTGTTTGAGTCCACAGTGCTCTCTGGATGCAGGTGAGCTACAACTTTCAAACTCAAGGTCAGTGCCCACCAAACTCTTCCAGAATTGGTTGTGGGAGTCCTAAGTACCAAGTTTGGTTCTATTCCATTGTTGGTAGGGCTCAGAATGCTCTTGATCGTAGGTGAACTGTAGATCCCAGCAACTACAACTCCCAAAATGACAAAATCAATTTTTGAGTAATGGTCACTCCTTGGGTTAGTTGGTCTCTTGTGTCCAAATTTGATGGTCTTTTGTCCAGTGGTTTTTGAGTTATGTTAATCCCACAAACGAACATTACATTTTTATTTATATAGACTAGCCGTCCCCTGCCATGTGTTGCTGTGGCCCAGTTTGGTGATCTGGAAAATAAAGTGATGAAAAAGTGTTGGTTTCTAATATAAGTAATGTCTTTATGCTTGTGGGTAAACAGTATTTCTTGTTGTTTCTTTGCCAGTGTTGATGTGGAGATTGTCTGGTTTGCCTACTCTGGAATATGCAACATATCATAGTCCTTCTTTAGGGATCCCTTTCAAATTTATGATGCTATATCTGTGTGTGAGAGAGAATCATATCTATTTATCTATATCTATGGCTGGGTGGCTCTTTGTCAGGAGGGCTCTGATTACATTTTCTTGCCCTGGTGAAGAGAGTCGGACTGGATGGCCTTAAGCATTTTCTGTTGGTCATGGGGTTTCTGTGTGGGAAATTTGCCCCAATTCTGTCATTTGTGGGATTCAGAATGCTCTTTGATTGTAGGTGAACTATAAATCCCAGTAACTACAAATTCCAAATGTCAAGGTCTATTTCCCCCAAAGTCCATTTGGGCATATAGAATATTTGTGCCAAGTTTGGTCCAGATCCATCATTGTTTGAATCCACAGTGCTCTCTGGATGTAGGTGAACTACAACTCCCAAACTCAAGGTCAATGCCCACCAAACCCTTCTAGTGTTTTCTTTTGGTCATGGGAGTCCTGTATGACATGTTTGGTTCAATTCCATCATTGGTGGAGTTCAGAATGCTCTTTGATTGTAGGTGAACTATAAATCCCAGCAACTACAACTCCCCAAATGACAAAATCAAAAAATTTTCAGTGAAGGACATACATTGGGTTGTTATGTGTATGCTGTTCAAATTTGATGTTAATTGGCCCACTGCTTTTTGAGTTCTGTCAATCCCACAAATGAACATTATATTTTTATTTATATAGATTTGTCCTATGAATATTTTTTTCTTCTCCAACTTGAATTTCAGGCACCTATGGGGACTTGCTGGGGCGACATCTCAGAAGGTGTACGGATAGAAGTCCTTAACACAGACTGCAGCCTACCTACCAAAGTCTTCTGGATTGCGGGGATTGTGAAATTAGCAGGTTACAGATTTTGTTATATTTTAAAATATAACTGTCTAAAATATCTTGCGGGTATTGAGCAGATCTTTTTCTTACAACCAAATGCAAAGTTGTAGAGATGTCCTTCCTCTGAAATATAGTCTGTAACATGCTCACAGATAAGTTCTCTCATTTGACCATTTGGTTCCTGTTCTATACTGATAATCACTCTCAAACTCTCAAGATATTGTTGGTTATATATCGCTGCCTTCCTTGCTGTTGCCTATTTTGACTAAGACTCCTGGGACTTCAATAATATTTTCAATGATATGCTTTGCCAGCCCTTTCTGTAATATGGCAAATTTTGATAAAGTCAATATAATTGATGTCAGTAGATGTATTTGGAGCTCTGCCAATGAGTGAGGTTAACACGCTTTAAAAGTCAGTTATAGTAGCATCTGGCATATTATAAGGTACAGAGATCATTATTGGAGGCTTTGCCATTCTTCTGGGGCTGATAAGGAATAATTGCATTCGTTGCTCTTAAAAACTTTCTGTTATCATTGACACAATGTGTGAAACTTTTAGAGTTATAAGACTATCTCTTTGGGTTTTGACAAAAAGTGTTTGCTGGCATGCTAGTGATATTTGGCTACGTCTTTTCCTGTGAGATCTGTGTATAGTGGTCTTAAGGTGGCTATTAAGGTTGCTAAGGTGGCTATTAAGGTTGGACAAATGAGTTGAGTTGTATCTGCAGATTGTTTTCTCTGATACATTAAATTGCATTCTGAAACCAAGTACAAAGATTTTAGAGAAAAATGTCTTCTGCACCTTTTTTAGATGCATACAGTATAGAATTTTGCCACTAAAAGACTTACCAGCATTCACTAAGCTGTGCTCCCCTCTTCTGCCTGATGGGTCTTTAAAAGAAGGGTCTTGTTTCATTTCATCCCATAACTGATCAAGGCAGTCACCTCAAGAGTATTTATTTCCAGTGTCAGTTTCCATTTCTGGAAATCTTTGTAAACAAAGGATGGGGTTGATATATTTCCATTACACTCCTAACAACAATGTGAATCAGCTTGCAAGTTTGCTTTCTTTCAGGTTACAATGCTTTATTGAGATATGAAGGCTTTGAAAGTGACTCAAACCTTGACTTCTGGTATAATGTCTGTGGTGCTGATGTCCATCCAGTTGGCTGGTGTGCAACCAGTGGGAAACCTCTAGTGCCACCTCGATGTATGTAAATCCAGCAATACTATGTTGACATTCAATTATTAATGTCTTGTTTATTGTATTAATATGATGTTTCTTATATTAATGAAAATACGCTGATTTCACTGTTAGAAAATCTATGTATTTATTATATGTGTTAAGATATTTGGTTTCCAGTCATGGTGTTATCAGAAATATTAATGTGTTTGTACACTAAATAATACATTTAGATTACCAATAAAGTCTGAAATCCAGTTCAAATAGCAACACCAAGAACCCTAATAATATCTTTTTCCTGAATCATTGACAGCTATTCAACACAAATATACAAACTGGAAAGCTTTCCTGGTGAAACGACTAACTGGTGCCAAAACTCTTCCTCCTGACTTTACTCAGAAGGTAAGGCTAATGAGGCTAGTTGTGAAAAGATTATCACTGAGGCCAATCCAAAAGTTTCCACTGAGCACCTTAACCTGGAGAATTTGGACACCAATGAAAATGTCACTATGTTGTAGTTTTTGAAAATAGACGGTCTCCAATGGTTTTGAAGTGCAAAATCTAGAGTACTAGAAAATGCCCAAATGTTTAGAACTGAGGGAACACATTCTAACATGAGGTGAAACGTTTGTTTTGACTAGCTGTCTGCCCCCACTTTTTTGTTAAAAGGTAACTTAATATAAATGTATTCAGTTTTTAAGATGTTTTGTCCTAGCTGTTTTTTTATTAAAGAAATTAAACTTTACGTGGGAAGTGTCTGAACCTTAAGTATAGGAGTATTTATAGCTATTTATGTGACTATGTTGCAAAATGAATTCCTAGTTGGTATCATTCGATGTGAGTTCTGCAATAAAAACAATTCTGGAAGAGTAAAATCTACCTTAATGAGGATTTGTTTTGCTTATGAAAGATGTCATTGCCTCATTTTGAAAAACTTCTCCCAGATCTCCTAATGTATGGGTAGGGGCTGGCTTGACATGTTGTGGATATCTCTTACTTCCCCAAGCACATAGCTTGCACCTAAATCTGGATTCTGGTCTAAAATATATCAAAAATTAATTAATTTTAATTAAAGCTGGAATAAAATAAGAGGAACAGTTAGAACAATAACCCACACTTCGACTTCATTACAGATGTCAGATTTTAAAAAGGGAGAACAGAAAAGTTTCTCTAATCTGAAGGGATAGAGTATTCTATTATATAAAATATTACAAACTCTTGTTAGTTTTTGTTGATGTTCTAATGACAGAAGTGATTGCATTTGGTATTGCTGACTGACCGTAAATCTGGGAGGTGGGACGCTCTCCGCTGCTCGCAGGGCACCCTCCATTGCTGGTGAGGCACCCTCAGCTGCTTGCGGGGTGCTCTCCATTGCTTGCAGGCTGCTCTCAGTCACTTTCAGGGCACCCTCCATCACTCGTGGGGCACCCTCAGCTCGCTACCTGCCTGCCTGCCGGGCTTCCACTGCAAGCAAGCAAGCGTTGGTGATGCTTGCGATGGAAACCTGGAAGGCAGGCAGGCCTCACCAGGCCCATGAAAGAGAGGAAAAAATGAAGGTTGAAGCAAGGGAGGAGAAACAAAGGAAGAGATGGAAGGAGGGAAAGAAGAAGGTAGGAAGGGGGTTGAGGAAGAGAAGGAGGGAGCGAGGGAAGAAAAAGAAGTTAGGAAGAGAAGAAAGGGAGGGATAGAGAGAGAAAAATAAGGAAGCAAGAAGGAAGGATGGGAAGGATAGAAGGGAGAATGGAAGGAGGAAGGGAAGGAAAGAAAGGAGAAGGGAAGGAGGGGGCAGAAGGTCCTTGGTCTATAGATGGTCTTCAAAGGTCCCTTCCATCTCTGTTATTATTAGTCGTAGTATATTATTAAGGCTAGATAACCACCATCTGTTGGGGGTGCTTTGATTGTGCTTTCCCTGCATGAAGACAGAAGGGGGTTGGACTAAATGGTCTTTAGAGGTCCCTTCCATCACTATTATTATTAATAATATTAATATTATTAAGGCTCGATAGCCATCTGTCAGGGGTGCTTTGATTGTGCTTTTGCTGAATGAAGGCAGAATGAAGGGGGTTGGATTAGATGGCCTTTAGAGGTTCCTTCCAATTCTAGGATTCTGTTAAAGGAGTCTTAGTCAACCACGAGCCCATCACAAGCCATCAGTGTGATGCTGCAGCTGAAAAGGCCAATGCCATTCTAGGCTGTGTCAATAGGAGAAGCCTGAGAGAAAGTGAAAGGGAACTGATATGACACTTTACCTTGGGTAGTTTTTTAATTGCTATTAATGATAATTATTTAATACAACTGTTTGTTTTAACTTAATTTGACAATGTTTAGTATTGCCTTTTGTTTAAAAATTTAATGGTTTTTTGTTTATATAGGCATTGAATGTTTGCCTGTTGCTGTGTTGGAAGCTGCCCTGAGTCCCTATGGGGGGATAGGGCAGGGTACAAATATATTATTATTATTATTATTATTATTATTATTATTATTATTATTATTATTATTATTATTATGTTATTGTTGATACCATATTGTTTTTGTTGACCCTCCTTTTTCACTTACAGAGCTAATTTACTGTTTTTCTTTGAAATATGGTAAACATTCAAAACATTTAGCCTACTGGTGCCACAATTAATGTCATTTTATTGCTATCTATTTTTATTTTGAAATTTACCAGTAGCTGCTGCATTTCCCACCTTCAGCTTATACTTGAGTCAATAAGCTTTCCCAGTTTTTGTGGTAAAATTAGGTGTTTTGGATTATATTCGGGTCGGCTTATACTCAAGTATATACAGTACTAATGCTGCACAAATATTTGTTTTCAGGTGTCAGAAAGCATGCAGTATCCCTTCAAGCCTTCTATGAGAGTAGAGGTGGTTGATAAAACACATCTCTGTCGAACGCGGGTAGCAATTGTAGACAACGTAATTGGAGGAAGATTAAGATTAGTATATGAAGACAGTGAGGACAAAACAGATGATTTCTGGTGCCATATGTACAGCCCACTTATCCATCCTATTGGCTGGTCTCGAAGTATAGGACATCGGTTCAAAAGAACTGGTAAGGTCATATGACTAGAGAGGTGCTTTAGTAAATAGCACTCTGTTCATTTTTTTAAGATAAAAATAACTTAAAGGTAGATAATGACCAATATGCTTATTTTTCCAAAACATGTTAACTCTACGATTACATTCTCAAAATAGGAGAGTGTAATTTCCGTAATTCTGTTTCATTTTAAATAGGTTCAGGTTAATATTTTAAAGTGGGTGTATATATTTAAGCAAGGAATCTTAATCGTTTTACTCTCTCTGCTTCACAGATATTATAAAGAAACAGGAATCCCACTTGGATGCACCTCCACATTTATTTATCAAGGTATGGTGTTTTACAAGGAAGTATGTATATAGTGGAAGGAGTTCTGTATCAGTATTAAAATGCGACATGATAGTTTAAAAATTTGCACTTCTTCAGTATGGAGAGAAATGAAATTATTCCATGTGATGTTTACTAATATGTATTGTTACTGGGTGACCTGTTTGCAAATCCTGTTAAAGATACAGAGTGTTGCTACGTGCCACATTTAATTCATCCCTTTATATTGACTGCATTTGTTGCTTCAGGTGCATGTTTACTGTGTTTCTTTAGGTAAAAGAAACTGAGTCAAGTGGAGAATGGTTCAAGGAGGGAATGAAATTGGAAGCCATAGATCCATTAAACCTTTCTGCAATATGTGTGGCCACAATTAGAAAGGTAAAGGTATTCACATACATTTTTATAGACTCACAGGAGCAAATCAGCCCATATAATATATTTTAATATATAAAATGTACAGCCTACTGCCTAATAACAGGCTAATTTCTCTGTTTTTAAAGTATTTGTGAATGACACTATATGACTAATTGCATGCTATATTTACTACTCAGACCAAGGGGATGGACTTGAAATATGACTTTACACATCCTTAAAAAGTCTGAGTGCATCTAATGGATGAAGACAGCATAGAGTTCTCAAAATTTCCTACTACATCTGATTTTGAGATGGAGTTCCTATTTAAAGCCTGAAATTTTATTAAGCGTCTTTCTATGCAAATATGCTAGTATTTTAGGCCCTATCTACAATGACAATTTAATACAGTTAGAAACCAGTATTGAAGAAAGTGGTTTTGCTTTGCAGATTATTACAGAGGAAATCCTGGAATTGGTTTGAAGTCTGGATGTGATTACACAGAATATAGCGCACTGATGGTGCTTTAAGGGCTTTCTTTCATGTGCTTTTGTGGCCATTCATTGTCTCTCCACTGCAGTTTGAAACTAGCTTCATATTGTATTAAATAGTCAGTGCAAATGGAGCCCAGTGAACTTCAGTAAGGTTGTTCCTCGATAATTGCCAGCACATTGTATTACTCTCAGTTCCTTAACCTTGGTTTGGGATTGGGACAGACACTTGCACAGTCCCTTGACTTTCTGCTAGTCTTAACTGTGGGGAAAATTTATAATCTAAATTGAGTTCCTAGTCTCAGGCTTGCTATTTAACAGTTCTACTCTCAACGGAACTAACAGCTGGATTTATATGTCAGTATTAAAGCCCAGCTAATGCTGACAAAGGTCCACTTATAATGAAGTATCACAAATCTCTCTCTTAAATCCTTTCATTTTATAGTGAAATGTAGTCAACATTAGCTGTGCTTAATACTAAGAAAGGAAAACAAGAAATATGCAGTCCCATGGTTTTCTTCTCTTTTAATTGTTTAAAGGGATCAGGAGTATTAACTTGCAAAATTACGTTGTTTCATAATCTGCAAACTGCCAATACCTTTTTTGTTGTGTGGTTTTTCATTTTTATTTCATTCTTATGGCCCAACAGGACCGCTTTTGGTTTTATATATCCTTTTATAAATGTTTTGGGCAGTTTTGTTGTCTGCCAATGAATTCCTTGCTGCCCTATGAAAATTACATCTTTGCACGTACATTCCTGTTGAACTTTGGCTAATTACTCTTCAGTTTCTTTTGTATCATATCTTGCATTTATTTGTATTTAACTTAAATTTTGTTGCTTTTTATTTAGGTGTTAGCCGATGGCTATCTCATGATTGGAATTGATGGTTCTGAGGCAGCAGATGGATCTGACTGGTTTTGCTTTCATGCCTCCTCCCCCTCTATATTCCCTGTTGGTTTCTGTGAAATTAACATGATAGAATTAACTCCACCCCGAGGTACTTCTGTTTGGCAAGCATCATGGAATGAAATAGTCAAGTATTTTTTCTTAAGATTGCTTGTAACTATCATATGCTTTCTTCCATGTCGCTTTCATGATTTAGTTTGAAATTGTTCGGAAAATAATGGTATTACATTAATCCTTGCATGACTGGATACTTGGCTGGCTGGATTTGTCTGAACCATATGCTATCTCTGTCTTGTTTTCTTCAGGAACCTTTTAGTTAGTGTAGAGTAAAGGGGGTGGTAGAATCACTATATGGCTTGCGGAAAGGCTGTAAAGTGCCTTAGTATCTTCACTGTTCTTTTCTTTATATGAGATCTCAACTCAGATGTCTGCCTTTTTCTAGAGTAGCCTAGGTTACCTTAGTAACCATATTTCTTCTTTGTGGTCTCTGAAATGCGCACATATGGGTCTTCTTGCTAATGTGCAGACAGTTTCGGAACTCTCTAGATGCTGAAAACGAAAACATTTTGGCAGTACCCCCACCCACACTCTCCTTGTAGCATTTAGCCACTGGGAGGGGCGAACGCCTTAGTTTCTTTTGTCCACCGCAATAGCAGTAGCATAGGAACCTCTCTAGTGATTCACTCCCTTTTTGTCAGTTTTTGGATCTGTTTTGGCTTGGCTTGTACTTGTAATGACTATTCTTCGGATCACTCCTTTGGACTGTTTGACTACTTGATTTGACTCGAACTTCCCTGACTTCTCCCTTTGCCTCATGATTTCCTGGACTTTTTTGCTATTTGTTACTGACGCAGACTGCTTAGACAATATCTCTGACATCTGGATCAGGCTAGTGACCATTTCTCTTAATGGTGACTACAACTTCTTTTACGAAGTGTACAGGTTGTGAGGGCAAGCTGTCAGACGCTGATGGAGACGCTGCAGAGGAAGTACTTCACAGAGGACTGTTTCCAGTCAGCAATTCTACGAGCCATCGTTCCGTTTGTTCGGGTGAGAGATGTCCAGTCCATCCTGGGACACATGGCATCCACCACTGCAGTTACACCCTTTTGCTCATCTGCAGATGTGACCACTTAAGCCGTGGTTCCTGAGCCTGTACAATCCCATTTCCACTGAAGCCCACGGATGCGGCTTCAGTTTCTACATGCCATCATCCACTCCCTTCTATGGTGGACAAAGCAACTCAATGTCTGCCTTGGCCTACCTTTTCACCAGCCCCACCCATCCCTTTATCTGACAACAAACTCGTCTCTGAATGACTGGGGGGCCCACACAGGCAACCTGGTGGTACACAGTCTTTGGTCAGCAGCAGAGAAAGACCAGTACATCAATCTTTTGGAACTTTTAGTGGTGCAGACAGTGCTAAGGGCAATCAAACCCCATTAACAGTTCAAGTAGTGCAATGTTTCACTGACAATACTACGCTGAAGTTTTATATACACAAGTAGGAAGGAACGCACTCCTGTAGCCAGTCCACCTCACCCTTCAGATACAGGACTGGTGTATCCCAAGAGGGATCCACCTGACAGCACTCCATCTGCCTGGGGATGAGAACTCCTTGGGGGATGCTCTCAACAGGACAGCCACCACATGCCACAAGTGGTGCTTGAACCAGTAAGAGCTGCATCCCCTATTCCAATAGTGGGAACACCCAGACATAGATCGCTTCGTGTCTCCTCAGTACCCCCAATTCTGTGCCTACCTTCAGTCTGGAGCATTCTCTGGATGTCTTTGAGATGCATTTGTCATCAACTGGTTGGGGGACCTCCTGTACCCATTTTCCCCAAAACCCTTGATCACCGGATCTGTGGCGAAAATCCTAACAGATGAGGCAAACTGCATTTTTGTAGCTCCCTGGTACCTTCACTAACCCTGGTTCGCCCTGCTGCTCAGTGCATCAGAACACAACTACCAACATCTACAACAGAGGCCCAACCTCCTCACCTTTCAGGATGGTCACATTCGGCACCCAGACATCTGCTCCCTCTCCCTGACACCTTGATGGGTACAACCATTTGTAATCTCTCAGCTCCAGTGAAAGTGATCCTGGACGCTTCCCAAGCAAGCTTACAAATATAACAGGCTCCGTTTTTGTATGCCCGTCATTCAAACCCCACTTCAGCTCCAATCTCTGCAGTAATAGACCTCCTAGACTATCTTTATTATTTATTTATTTATTTTGCATATTTGTACCCCATCCTTCTCACCCCCAGGGGTGGGGGGACTCAAGGCTACTTCACAACAGGTATTCATTCAAATGCCAACCATAGTCGTAAATAGAAAATATTTAAAACAATTCATTAAAAACATTACATTAATAAGAAATTTGTTTAAAATCACACAGGTTTAAAACTAGAGTCTGGGTCAGTCCATTATTATTCATATCACTTGAGTCTTATTCTCAATTGCTGTTTCAACTGTTCGAACGCTTGGTTCCATAACCAGATTTTGCGATTCTTTCTAAAAGACAGGAGGAAGTGGGCCAATCTGATGTCACTGGGAAGATAGTTCCATAAGTGACAAGGAACTTTCCCAACAAGGTGTTGACATGGCATCACCAAAATGCTACCTGGCAGCCATTTCCTGGTACAGAAGGAAAGCAGGACTCCCCTCTTGGTTTGCCGACCCACTTGTGAAATGGGAATGTCCATCCGCTAGCGACTCCTCCAGTCCCAGCATGGAGCCTTGAGCTCGTTCTGTCTCAACTTTTCCATCCGCCTTTTGAGCCATTTGCATGGATAGACCTCTCTTACCTTTCTTTGAAGATGCCATTCCTCATAGCATTGACTTTGGACCTTGAATTATGTGCCCTTCAGGCAAATGAACCCTATTTTTGGTTTTATAAAAATAAGGTCATTCTCCATACAGACATCACTTTTCTTCCCAAAGCAGTTTCCTGGTTTCGTATGTCCCAAAACTTAATTCTATGAGGCTTCTTTAAGAACCCAACCACTCCGTTGGAGAAATTCCTGCACACCTTCGATGTCAGAAGAGCCCTCACCTTCTTTGTTCTCAGAACAAGGGCACAAAGGAAATCCCCAAGGCTCTTTCTCAAGTACGTTCGAGACACACTGGGACTCCTACTTTTGTCTTAGCAGCTATCAGCCTGGATCACTACCACCATCAGACTGACTTACACATAGCAGGCTGGGATCATCCCGTTTCAATCAAGGGCCACTCCATTTGTTCTGTTATCACTTCCAAAGCCTTCCTGCATGGAGTATTATTGGAAGTGATTTGTACAGCAGCAACCTGGTCAACTCCATTGACCTTTGTGTCCCACTACAAGCTCTACGTCGCATCCCACTGAGATGCAACCTTTGGCAGAGTGGTCTGTTTTCCTGTATGGCATTATCCCACCTCCAGGTTGGTAGCCTGCCAATCACCCATATGTGTTCATTTCACACTGACCACAAAGAAGAAGAACGGGTTGCTTACCAGTAACCGTGTTTCTTCAAGTTGTCATCTGTGAAATTCACACATCCCCGCCCACCTTCCCTGCAGTTATCATGCCTCGGTTTCTATGGCCTCTATTGTGGCTAAGGAACTAAGGCATTCATCCCTCCCACTGGCTATATGCTACAAGGGGAAAGTTAATGGGGCTACTGCCGAAATATTTCTATTTCCAACGTCTAGAGAGCTCAGAAACTGTCTGCGCATGCACAAGAAGACCCATATGTGCGAATTTCACAGATGATCACTTGAAGAAAGCAACCCATTCATCTTCTTCGTCTTCTGCCTTATGAGGTGATTCCTTCTTGTAACTTATACCTGCAATTAACTGGGCTCAGGGTCATCTATTGAAACTGAATGGGGGAAATACTTGGTACTTCAAGATGTGTTGATGACCATTAGGTTAGAGAGGATTTTAAGAAAGGGATTAGATAAACCCATGAAGAGTATCTGTTGGGCTTAGCTGTTAAAAAGCTCTGTTGCCTTGGTATCTTGCTTCTATGCTTCTCAAAGTGATCTGGTTGGTACCCGACTGCTAGAAACATGACATTAGACTGGGTGAACCATTGGAAAAAAGAGACACCTCTCTGCCCTTCACCCTTCAAAAAGTAAAATAAGGAGGGAATGAATTGAGTTGCATAAGAAGTGGCAGCCAAAAGAAGTGGAAGATGAGAGGAGAAGAGAGTGTTCACTGGATGTGCTTGATAGAGAAAATGTAGAAACTACAAACATGGGTGCATAATGTGGGTATCTTGTGGAGTAATGCATCCCATCATCACTAATTACTTTCTCTTCTGTTAATAGAGTTCTAAGCTTGTCTTCGGTAACATAAGTTAGCAATTTCTTCCTCGTGTAGTCTGTGAAATGCGCACTAATGGGTTTCTGTGCGCATGCGCAGTGATTTCGGAACATTCTAGCTAAAAAGAGTTTAGGTGGGAGTCCCGCCCACCCTCCCAAATGGTATAAAAGGCAGTAGGCGGAGTTCCGCGTCAGTTCTTCTTTCCGCGCGACAGCAGAAGCATTTCGGACTTTACTCTTCTTACTTACCTGATTCTTTGTGTATTGACTCGGACTGCGCTCGACGATTCTCCCTTCTCCTTCCCCGACAACGGACCGACCACGGACAGGCTAGCATGTCGACCTTATCTTTTAAAAAATGTTCGGCTTGCGGAGCTAACCTCCCAGAAGCTGATAGACACACCAAGTGTCTTTTGTGCCTTGGGGAGTCCCATAATCGCTCTGCCTGTGAGATCTGCAGAGCCTTTACATCTCGGGCTCAAAAGAGCAGGGACTCCCGTCTGAAAGCTCTTATATGAGCAAGCACTGGCCCCTGAGGAGACTCGCCAAGCCGCGCCAAGTCTCTCTCAGCAACCCTCACCCTCCCCTCTCTCCGGAGAGCGGCCGGGCCCCTCCTCCATGCAGCTTGAAGAAAGCCCTGCGGCTTCGACTCCTCCCCTTGGGGAAGAACCGAAAAGACCCAGGGCCTCCAAACAAACTGCTCATAAGAGCAAGTCAAAGGAGAAACAAAATAAGAAAAAGGGACGGCAACTCTCAGGCGTGCAGCCCCTGAGTCCTCCCCTGCTGGTACCGCCGGCTCAGCTGCTTGAGCTCTCGCCCACGGAGCAAACCGCACCACAATTCCTAGAGCTTCAGGAGCCTCCAGAACTTCTCCCAATTGAGCTCCTCAACTCCCA